CCTCCTCCTCCTCCTCCTCCTCCTCCTCCTCCTCCTCCTCCTCTTCCTCTTCCTCATCCTCCTCCTTCTCCTCCTCCTTCCTTCCTGTGTTCCCCCACGGCGGCTAACGCTCCGTCTAGCCACCAGGCGTGTCAGGACGGGCCAGGGGATTCGCGCCAGGGGCCTCCTTCTCGCGTGCAACCGCTTCAAATCTCCAGCAGCTGCACGGATGGGAGCAGGATCGTGTTCAAGATGTGGTTGTTGTTTTCGCGCCGTTCACATGTATATTACTTTCAGCCCGCAAAGGAAGGATTAACGACGTTCCAAGGTTACCCTTGCATCCGTCCCTTTTGGCCCATCCTTGGCCGCTTTCGCTGGCCGCGCCCCTCTCGCCAAGGTCGGCATGGCCTTCCAAGGCCCTTTGCATCCTTATCGTGCGTCTTCACTAGCTATACGGGTTGACTGTGCAGTGCGGGAAAAGCCGAGAGCGGGTGCGGAGGCGACCCACTGAAGCAGTTGCCGAGACACTGGGGAGGAGGAGGAGGAGGAGGAGGAGGAGGAGGAGGAGGAGGATGCAGCGGTGGAGAAGAGGGGGAGGAGGAGGAGGAGGAAGGAGGAGGGGCGGAAGAGGAGGAGGAGGAGCGGAGTTGTAGGAGGAGGAGGAGGAAGAGGATAGTGGCCGAGGAGGGAGGGAGGAGAGGAGGAGGAGGGAAGAGGAGGAGGGGAGGGGGAGGAGGAGGAAAGAGGAGGGAGGAGGAGGAGAGGGGTTGAGGAGGGGAGGAGATGAAGAGGAGGAGGTGGAGGAGTGAGAGGAGAGCAGTAGCGAGCAGGCAGGAGGAGGAGGAGGAGGAGGGGGAGGTAGGAGTGAGGAGAAGGAGGGAGGGGGAGCGAGGTGGGGGAGGATGGGGAGGAGGAGTGAGCGAGGAGGAGAGCAGGGGGTGGCGGGGGAGCAGGAGGAGGAGGAGGCGGAGGAGGAGGTGGAGGAGGAGGAGGGGAGGAGGAGGGGAGGAGGAGGGGAGGTGGAGGAGGAGGAGGAAGAGGAGGAAGAGGAGGAGGAGGAGAGAGGAGGAGGGAAGAGGCGGAGGAGGAGGAGATGAGGAGGAGGTAGGAGGAGGAGGAGGTGGAGGAGGAGGAGGTAGGAGAGGAGGGGAGGAGGTTGGAGGAGGAGGAAGTAGGAGGAGGAGGAGGGGGTTGGAGAGGGGAGGGCGGGAATCGGGGCGGGAGTGGGCCGGCCCCCTCGGAGGGCCGCGGGGCTTCTCGGCTGGGAACCCCCCGGGCTTTGGGAAGCCCCTTTTCGGCGTCTGCCGAGAAGGCGCATGGCCAGGCCGAGGTATAGGATCGAGGTCGGTTCGGGGGGGGGGCATCCTGGTGCTCTTCGTGCCTGTTGGATGTTCTCGGGGGGGGGGCACCCTGGGAGGAGGGATACCGTCAAGTGCATCCTGGGGGGTATCCTCGAATGTTGTCTCGCTTGGCCGGCGGAGGGTCTCGCGTCCTTGAGGGATGTGTGCCTGTCCCAGGTCCGGCCGTAGAAAGACTCTCGCAAAGCCAGAGGTCTTCCGAGCCGGCCGAGAAGGCTCGCCCCCTCTGCGTTCCGCCCCGGGCGCGCCGCCGAAAAATGGTGTTCTCGCCTTGGCGCTGCGCACTTCCGTCGCACACAGAAGCCAACACCTACACATTGTTCAAAGGTGGCCAAGGTTCTTTGATTGTAATGGCCTCGGGCCAGTGTCGCCAATGCGGGGGGCTCCAGATTCGGCGATCTTCGCGGCTCTGTGGCTTCCTCCCTCCTCGATTATTCCGGTCCTCTTTCTTCTCCGTAGTTCTCGTTATCCTCTGCCTCCCGCTGACCTTTTTGCGTCGCGTGCTCGCTCCCCTCTCCGTCCTCGCTCGTCCTCGTTCCCGCTGGGGGGGGGCCTGGAGAGGTCTCGGGGGGAGTCCGGGGAGGGTTCCGAGGGGAGGGTCCCGGGGGCGGTAGCGGCTAGATTTGAGGGGGGTCCCTGGACCCCCCCGAAAAATCTTGGGGATGCGCAAATCATTTTAATAATATAATATTTAACAAAATGGAGGACCGCCCCCCCCCCCCTTTCCCGGGCCCCCCGAAACATTTTGGGGATGAGCAAATCATTAAGACAACGCCAGATGGGGGACCGCTCCCCCCCCCTCCCCCCCTTCCCGGCAGAGCCACCCTGGCGACCCCCCCAAGCGGAGTTGAAGCTCTCACTTAGGCTCAGAGCTGAAGCTCTTGCTGAGGCCCCTTGTAGTTCACACGCCGGATCGGCGGATTCTTTTGGGGGGCCAAGATCCTTCCATTTCTATTTGTTATATCCTGGGCCTCTTCCTGGCCACTAACTAGGGGGCCAGGAACAATGAGTAGCGAGCACACTTAGACATGAGCACGATTAGACATGAACGAAGCGCACACAGAAGGGAGGCAGCACTGCGTGTGAACGTGACTCTCGCCCCATCGCCGCGCACATACGTTGCAACTCCACGGCTACATGGGTGGAGGGCGCAGCTTGTGTTCCAGCACGGCTGGTCTGTCTGAGACGTGCATTGATCAGGAGGGGAAAAAAACACAGACACAATTAATCGTCGATTCCCAGGAAAATATGGGAAAATGTGGGAAGTGGGTTGGAAGACAGAAACCCAGAAAAGATGTGAAAATATGGGAAGTGGGAGGGAAGACCAAAACCCAGAAAATATGAGAAAAGATGGGGAATCTTTTTATTTGTGTGTATTTATTTGTGTATCCTGGGGCCCCTTCAATTGATCCTTTACGGTCCAGCGTGTCAAATCGTGCAACGGGCACACGGGCGGAGGGCGGCACCCTTTTTTGCAGGCCGGGGTCACTGTTCGAGATCTCCGTCGGCGTTATGACCAGAGGTGTAAAATGGCGCGCGCTTTGGCACGAGGGCGGTTCGTTTTCAAAGCATGGGTCTGGCTGGGCGCGTCCTGGAACTCTTGACCACACCTCGCAGACGTCCTCGCAGCTACAAGCGTGGATGGCAACTCCTCTTTTCAGAATTGGGCTCTCACCCGAGCTGCAGGCCCAGGGGGCGTTCGTCCACTTCCCGCAGTGGAGACAGCTTACTGCAGCGGTATGAGGCGAGGATGTGAGGCAGGAGCGTATTGCAGCATCGTCGGTGCATGTTGGGTCTGCTCTTGTCCTCATCATCATCCTCCCTCTGCCCCCCTTCCCCTTCATCCTCACCTCATCCCTCCCTCCCTCTCCCTCCTCCTCTTCCTCCTTCTCTTCCTCCTCCATCGTCTCTCCTCGTCCTCGACCACATGCAGCGAAAGAGCCCATCCGAGGGCTCCAGAGATCGCCGCCAGGGTCAGACCTCGACCGCAGTGGCTGTCACCGTGATGCTCCGTGAGAATGTCCTCTCCTCGTCCTGCTTAAACGTCCTCCCATTCATCCCCCTCGTGCTCCTATTCTCCCTCGTTTCCCCATTGTTCCTCTGCCAGTTCCTCCTCCTCCTCCTCCTCCTCCTCCTCCTCCTCCTCCTCCTCCTCATCATCATCATCATCATCATCATCATCATCATCATCATCCTCGTTCTCGTCCGCCTCCTCCTCCTCCTCATCATCCTCATCCTCATCCACATCCCCCATGCTATCCCCCATCAGGAGGTGATCCCCTATCCACTATCCCCTCAGGCTCGCTCGAATGAGGTCATCTTCCGCGTCGCACCGCCAGGCACATCGGTAGGGTTGGCGTTTTCGATTGAGCGCTCACGATGTGCTTTCCGAGAGCTCGAAGCCCCCAGCCATATACAGGCATGGAAGGCGTATGCGCGTTGCTCGTTGGAATTACCCGTGTTTGTGAAGACCTTCGAATGTGTGTGTCTGTGCTCGCGAGCGTTCACCCCAAATTGTAGGGCCGTGAACCATCGATGTGCTACGCATGTGGTGCAATCTGTGGACTGTGCAAACTGACTGGTGCAATACATGGTGTGTGCTATATGCTGTGCTAGATAGACACACATGTAAACAGATGCATTATACATATGTGGTGCAGTCTACCTGGTGCTACCTACCCACCGCACGACATCCGCGCGCGACCACCTCCCATCCTCGTGCAAGCATCCCTCTCACCCACCCGCAACTTGCTGGCAAAACTAATGAGGCCGTGCTTCCAGCGAGAGCACGATGCGTGGATTTCAGCCGCGCAGACAAATCCGTCTTCCAGGACGCGGCAATGCGATTACGATGGTGGCGACGGCAATGGCGACAACGACTATGGAGATCTTCATGACGACTGCGGGGTCGATGTCGTTGACGACGATTGTGATGGTGATGGTGATGACAATGATGGTGACAATGGGCGGTGGCAGCGAGCACGCTGGCGAGGTGATGACCATGGTGCTCGCGCAGAATTTTGACGAGGTGCAGAAATTTGACGAGGGCGACGACATCGACGATGACGGCGGCTGTGATGATGTCGACGATGGTGATGAGAATGATGATGACGGCGATGTCGATGACGATGACGATGGCCTCTACCACCCTCATCCTCCATTCCTCCTCTATATGCCTCCCCACTCCTGCACCTCCATCTGCCTCGCATGCATGCCTCACCATACACCATAGCATTTCGGAGGCCACGGCCTCACTCCCCTGGTCTCAAGTAGGCCCAGACTGCTGTCCGCCTTGGTGGTCGTTCGTTCGCTCGTTCGTTCCACCTGCACCCCTACCTTCATCTCTAACTCGCTGCCCCCGTTCCGCACCCCCCCCCTCGCGAACTTTCCGTCCCCCCTCTCCTTCCCTCCGTCCCCTGCTTTCTTGCCTCCCCTCCCTCCCGCCCACCCCCCTCCCTCTCCTCCCCTCTCCTCCCTCCCTTCCCCCCCTCGACATCCCGCCTCCGTGCCGAGGCCCTCTTCGTGCAGCGGCTGTGGCATCTGCTGTGGACGGGGCGTCTGGCCCCTCCGCCGCCCCCCCCCCGCGCCGACGCTGCCGCTCCGCCCGCCCACAGCCGCGCGCCGCGCCGCCATCTCGTCGTTGTGAAGGCTTTGGCGGCGCTCTGCTTGGATCTGCGGGGGTGGGGCTGGGGGGTCATCCCCGTCCCCCTTCCTCCTCCACCGCCCCCCCCCCTCCTCCTCGTCCGCTCCCTGCCTCTTTCTCGTCCCCCTCCTCCTCCTCGGACCTCCAGCGCCGTGGACGGACGGCAGCGGCCGGTGCTCACCCGGCGTGGACTTCCAGAGGGCCGTTCTGGCCCCAAGGGTCCCACGCCGCGAGGCCCAGACGAGAGACACGCACTCCGTGCCGTCGTTTCTTGCGGAAGCCCCAGCCCTTATACGAAGCAGTCCAGAGGCTCTGGGCCACCTGCTGTCCTTCCGCGCGCCGCCGTCGCATCAGGGGCCCAGTTCTCGTTGGGTGCAGAGAGTGCCCAACGCAATGGGGGAGGAGAAGACAGAACGTCGGAGGTGCAGGCTCGCGCCTGTCTCCCTGCCGCCCTGCAGTGAAGACGCCGAAATCAGGACCGGTTTGAGCTCAGGAGGGGCTCGGGTCTTCGGGCAGGCCCTTAGATTTGTGTCGTGGACCCCGTTTGCAGCCCAGGCCCGCCGTGGCCAGAAAAGCCCATTCGTTCCTTCTTGCGCGTTCCCTGTGGTAGCGCGATGACCGCATCCTGCCCCCCCCCTCCTCCTCCTCCTTCTCCTCCCCCCTCCTTCTGCTCCTGCTCCTCCTCCTTCTCCTCCTCCTCATCCTCCTCCTGCTCCTCCTCCTCCTCCTCCTCCTCCTCCTCCTCCTCCTCCTCCTCCTCCTCCTTCCTCTCCTCCTCCTGCTCCTCCTCCTCTTCTGCCGCCTCCACCTCCTCCTTCTCCTCCTCTTCCTCCACCTCCTCCTCCTCTTCCTCCTCCTCCTCCTCCCCACCTTTTCCTTATGAATAACTCCTCCCTGTCGCGCCCCGAGGTCGGTCGCAAGGGTGGGCTGGGCGTTTCGACTGGGACTTCCTTACCAGATATGAGCCTGAAACCTCGACACTGGCAACAGCGTAAAGGATTGAGGGTGGGTGGTTTTCTGAATGTGATTCTCGCTTTCGTGCTGCGCACATTCGTATTAGAAATATGTGCATGGATTTCACGGATTGGGGGCGGGTTGTTTTCAAAATGTGGTTCTCGCCCCAGCGTCGCGCACATTCGTTTCAAACATTTGCAACGGCTTCACCGATGAGGGCGGGTGGTTTTCAAAATGTGGTTTTCGCTTGAGCGTCGCTCACATTCGCAGTAAAGAATTGCAAGAGCTTCACGGATTGAGAGCGGGTGGTTTTCAAGATGTGGTTCTCGCCTTGGCGCCGCACACATTCGTTTCAAACATGTGCAAGAGAGTTACGGGCTGAGGGCGGCTCCGTTGCACAATGTGGCTCTCGTTGTTCTAGCGCCGCGCACATTCGGTTTAAACCTTGCAAAAGTTATGCGGATGATTACGGCTTCCAAAAATGCGTTGTCGAATGATTCAGGACTGTCAGGGCGAAAGAGTTGTGTTGATTCGCGGTGTCGAAGTCCCAGGAACGGCATTCTGACAAGATTCTGTATCGCCAGTACGCAACAGGCAGGTTGACTCGTGGCGTTGAAGTCCTGAGAATGGCGCTCTGTCAAGCTTTCTAGGATTTCCACACGCTTGTCTCCCAATGGGACATTTCCCTCAATGGAAGTGATACTCTGTATAGGGCCAAAAAAAAGAAAGCTTGGGTCGGAGGGTGTATCCCACATCGTTGAGAAGTCTTTGGTTTACACTGGTCTTCCTCCTCCTCCTCCTCCTCCTCCTCCTCCTCCCTCCTCCTCCTCCTCTCCCTCCTCCTCCTCCTCCTCCTAGCCGTTTTGGCCCCGACCCCCTGCGGCGCCGAGAGGGCGCGGCGGGGTGATTTGGGCCACCGACTATCTCCTCGCGATATCGGCTGGAATCTGACGTCCTGAGATCAGGAGTGACGATAACAAAAAGTCGGTGAAATGGGAAAAGGAAAGAAGGCGCGCGATGCTCGGAAGGCTCAGCAGGTGGGCCCCACCGATCCATGGCCGCCTCTGCCCGTGGGCCTCCAAGGTGCCAAGCCGCCTGTGCCGCCGTCCAGCCCGTTCTACGGGCTGCCGCCGTGGCCTGGGCCGAGTCAGCCCACGTGGCCGCTCTGGAGCGTGCCGCCGCCGCCTCCGCCAGGTGGTCGCAGGCCCGCGAAAGGAGCTGGGAAAGGGAAAGGAAACGATCGGAAAGTGAAGTGCAGTCAGTGCCCTCGGTGGGCGTGGGTGTCCAAGCTCGAGCAGTATGGAAACACGTGCCTGTGCGGGGCGCCTTTCACAAATGAGGCCCCTCCACCAGCGGCGCCACCTGGCGGCGGCGGCAAGGCTGGTGCCATCGGATCGGCCATGAAGGACCAGTTGCAGGAGCTCATCAAGTCGCAGCCTGGCAGCGTGCAGGCCAAGGCTGCGCAGAGTCTCCTGGACGCAGCCAAGGCGGAGCCGCCGACGAGAGGGACGGGCGGTGCGCCTGTCACTCAGCGCGTCACGGAGGTGACGGCACGGGTCCAGCGGGCCCAGACGTCCTTCGACAAGATTCGGGCGCAGCAGGTGCGCCTCACGATGGAGCTTGAGAAGTGCAAGGGGTCGCTCGCAGAGGCGGCCAAGGCGCTCGCGCGGGCGGAGAAGGAGCGGGCCGAGGTCTTCCAGACGGTGGCGCCCGCGCCCGCGCCGCCGCCTGTGGCAGGGATCGACCTAAGTTCCCTCCTGGGCGCTGATGAGAAGGAGATCTCGGAGTCCATGTTCACTGTCAACTTGGGCCCTGAGTTTGACAATTCTGATGGGTTGATGGATGAGAATGACCTTAAGGAGGTCGAGCGGCGCAAGCAGCTGGTCATGAGTGCTCTTGTTGGCGCGCTCAAGACCACCTTCGGTGGCTTGCAGGACACGCTGAGGCAGCATCGCGAGTCCTTGGGCGCCATGAAGGAGAAGGTTTCCAAGAAGAGACGGCACACGTCTCCGACGCCTGGTGGCCATGGCGAGGCCCAGGTGGCGGCGGCTGCTGGTGACGGCACGGGGGCGCCTGCGGAGGCGGGCGCGGCAGCTGCTGCTGCGGCGCCTGGTGCTGCTGTGGTGGCCGAGGCCACGAGCCTGGGTTCAGGCGCTGGCGCGGCAGCGAAGCCCGACGACGCGGAGGCCACGAGGCTTGAGGCCGTCAAGACGCGGCTGGCGGCGGAGGCCGACGCGTTGCTCAGCACTGCCAGGGCGGCGGCGGCGGGCGGGTCGAGCCTTTAGCCCGCACGGCTCCCCTAACCTCGGCGGGCCATCCATGGATGGAGGTTGGGGGGCTGAGCCGCGCCCGCCGAGTACCTGTTCAAGTTCGGCCTCTTTGACTGCTATGGCCTCTGCGGGCCCTGCTGGCAGCGGCGCTGGCGCTGGTGCTGTCGCGGCGGCGGCGGCTGCCCACTGCCCAGGACGCCCGACCCTTGCCACGGCACTCTCCCGATCCCCATCGGTCGGGGACGTTAAAGCTCTGGGCTTCGGCCTTGCGCCTTTGGGGCGGGAAGAGAGTGACGTGGTAGGGGGACCCGATGGCGGCCTGGGCTCGGCGGCGGCGCGTGCTGGCGCAGGCCTCAGGCGGCTGTATGCTCGCAATCTGGGGGGTTGGGGACCAGCTGCGAAGTCCCTTGCCCAGCAGCATCGCGCGGACATCATTGTGGTTCCTGAAACTCATGTGGGGCCTGCAGGTTCGAATGATGTCCTTCATGATTGGCGTAAGTCTGGCTACACGGGCGTGCTCTCAGCGGCATACTCGACGGCTACGCGAGAGAAGGCAGGCGGCATCACGATGGGTGTTCGCAAGCGATTTCGAGTTTCTTCTCTTCGCCATCTGGCTGCTGCGCCTCAGGATCAGGTTGGCCTCAGGCAGCTGGACCAGGCTGAGCAGCCAGGCTTGGATTTTCGTGACATGGTGGCCATGCAGCTTCGGGCTCAGCACCAATCCCTGCTGGTCGTGGGCGTGTACATGACCACGGCGGTGGGTGCTCGGGGCAACGCTCAGAAGCTGGCCAATCTTGGGGCGTTGCTGGCGACGATCCAGGGCATGTGGCTTGTCGTCGGAGATTGGAATATGACGCCGCAGGAGTTGTCCGCATCAGGATGGCTCGAGCTATCGCAGGGGGTCGTCGCGGTGCCGAGTAATACTACTTACACGTGCACGGCGGGCACGGGGCGCATGCTGGATTACCTTGTTATGTCTGCGTCGGCTCAGCACTTGCTCGCCTCCATCGAGGCGGACTTTGACACGGTCGAAGAGGCAGGCAAGTCGCACTACGGATTGGACATTTCGCTGGACTTTGATATGTCGAGAGCTATGGCGTGGACCCTCCGACGCCCTCGTGCTTTTGACCATCCTGCGCGCCCAAAAAAGCAGCCAGACCCTGAAAGTAAGAGATCTAAGAAGCAGGCCGCGCGCTTGGGCCACCCGGGTGCCGAGACGACCCAAGTCAAGGTTCCCACTCCTGAAGTTTGGGGGGCCAAGCGCAAGATCTCCATCAAGAGCCCTCCTGTGTTGCAGTATGTTCATCTGGAGTTTGAAGAAGAGGATTTGTGGACCGACAACGATGAAGACGACACTGAGGCCCCGCCTGAGGATGCTCCGATCTTGGAGGAGATTGAGGAGGTGCCCGAGGTGGAGGAATCCACCAATGCCAGTCTGCAGTGTGGGTGGTCTAGTTCGGCGAAGGATTTGTTGTGGCACAGTCTTTCGGAGCAGGTGGCACGAAGATTGGAGCCTCCAGCTTTCGTCGAACAGAGCCTCGGTTTCCAGGCCGACCCTGCTGCTGCCCGTCGACTTGGCGAGGTTTTCTCTGAGTGGTCGCACACCATGGAGTTGTATTATTGTGAGTTGTATCAGGTGCACCCTCAGGAGCGTCGCCAGTTCATGGGCAGGGGCAAGTTGCAGGATCCAGTCA